TTTAAACATAAAATACAGAAACTTTGTATTGTCATGGTAATGGAGTCTCAGGGAAAGTTAGAAGTAATTGCAAAGGTAGCCTGTTATCTTTAAATGTCTTCCTTTAAAAAAAAAAAGGCTTACCTGATGGATAAGACCCCTTAAGATCTCACTTCTGCCTCTGTCTCCAGCCTCATTTCTCACTTAGCTGCCACCCACCCCCGGCCTAAGCTCCAGTCACATGCATCTACTTAAGATAATGCCAGACAAACCATGTTTTCCTCATGCTTTCAGTTCAGTACATGCTGTTTGTAACTCTCCATAGTGAAGTTTAGCTCACCCACATGGGTGCCCCTCTATCAGTGCTTATTGTATTACTGCAATTATTTACTTACTTTTTATTTTATTTTATTTTTTTATAAATTTATTTATTTATTTTTGAATTGATTATGCTGTTACAGTTGTTCTATTCCCCCCCTTCATTCCCCTCCACCCTGCCCCCCAACCCCACCATTACCCCCCCCTTTAGTTTATGTCCATGTGTCTCAAGTCCTTTAGGTTCTATATTTCCCATACTATTCTTGCCCCCCCATCTATTTTCTATCTACTGTCTATGCTACTTGTTTTCTGTACCTTCTCCCCCCGTCTCCCTCCTCCCACTCCCCTGTTGCTAACCCTCCTTGAGATCTTCATTTCTATGTTTCCACTCCTGATCTAGCTGTCCTTTTAGTTTGCTTTAGTTTTAGGTGTGGTTGTTAATAACTGTGAGTTTGTTGTCCTTTCACTGTTCATGTTTCTTTAACTTCTTTTTCTTAGATAAGTCCCTTTAACATTTCATATAATAAGGGCTTGGTGATGATGAACTCCTTGAATTTGGTCTTATCTGAGAAGCACCTTATCTGTCCTTCCGTTCTAAATGAAAGTTTTGCTGGGTAGAGCAATCTTGGTTGTAGGTCTTTAGATTTCATGACTTGGAATATTTCTTTCCAGCCCCTTCTTGCCTGTAAGGTCTCTTTTGAGAAATCTGCTGACAGCCTGATGGGGACTCCTTTGTAGGTGATTGTCCCCTTAGCTCTTGCTGCTTCCAGGATTCTTTCCTTCATTTTAATTTTGGCTAATGTAATTATGATATGCCTTGGTGTGTTTCTTCTTGAGTCCAACTTTTTTGGTACTCTCTGGGCTTCTTGGATTTCTTGGAAGTCTATTTCCTTTGCCAGATTGGGGAAATTTTCTTTTATTATTTGTTCAAATAGTTTTTCCACTGGTGGTTGTGTCTTTCCCCCCTTCTGGTACCCCTATAATTCGGGTATTGGAGCGTTTATAGATGTCCTGGAGGTTCCTAAGCTTCTCCTCATTTTTCTGAATTCTTATTTCTTCATTCCTTTCTGTTTGATGATTTTTTCTTCTTCCTTCTGGTCCACTCCATTGATTTGAGTCCCAGTTTTTTTTTCATCTCTATGGTTTTCCTGTGGAATTCCATTCATTTCCCTTAATTTAGCCTTCATATGTTTCTCTAATTTGTGGCTATAGTCCACCAGATCTGTGAGGAAGCTGATGACCAGTGTTTTAAACTGTGCGTCTGAGAGATTTGCTATTTCTTCGTCACTTAGATTTATCTCTGGGGCTTTGAGGTCTCCCTGCGACATTTTTGGTCTGTTCTGGCCCTTTAAGTGGGAGGAGCGGTGCCTTGGATTCCCAGGTCGCTGGGTTGTGACGCTGTATGTGGAGGCGTGGTCAGAGCGGGGAAATGGCGCCGCCGCCTCTGCCAGTCCAAGCGCTCACTCCCTCACCCGCGTGCAACCCGGCAACCACAGTCAACTCGCTGCCACCGCCTCCCCACTGATTCCTCCGTAGTCGCTCACCCGGTGGGCCGCTCGGTCGCTCACTAGGTCCAATCCTGGGTTTGGAACCCGTGCGACTGGATTCGCGCGTCTGGATTCCGCGCCCAGGTCTGACCGAGCCCTCTTTTGTAAGTCCTCACCCGACGCCGGTTTTGCCCCTTACCGGTCGGGCCGAAGAATTTGTTGTTAGCGGACTTCCGAAAAGTTCAGTTTTCCGTGTTCTGGTTGTGTTTTCTGATGCTAATATTTAGTTGTCCCTAAACTTGGTTGTGTGAGGAGGCACGGCACATCCACCTTAAACTTAAACCTCCATCTTGGCGGAAGTCCTACTTTTTATTTTTTAAATATATTTTATTGATTGTGCTGTTACAGTTGTCCCATTTTCTCCCCTTTATCCCCCTTGGCCTGCACACACCCCTCCCACCCACATTCCCTGCCTTTAGTTCATGTCCATGAGTCATACATATAAGTTCTTTGGCTTCTACATTTCCTATACTATTCTTAACCTCCCCCTGTCTATTTTCTACCTACAGTTTATGCTACTTATTCTCTGTATTTTTCCCCCATCTACCCTCCCACTCCCCTGTTGATAACCCTCCATGTGATCTCTATTTCTGTGGTTCTGCTCTTATTGTAGTTGTTTGCTTACTTTGCTTTTGTTTTTGTTTTAGGTGTGGGTGTTAATAACTGTGAGTTTGCTGTCATTTTACTGTTCACATTTTTTTATCTTATTTTTCTTAGATAAGTCCCTTTAACATTTCATATAATAAGGGCTTGGTGCTGATGAGCTCCTTTAACTTGACTTTATCTGAGAAACACTTTATCTGCCCTTCCATTCTAAATGAAAGCTTTACTGGATAGAGCAATCTTGGGTATAGGTCCTTGTCTTTCATGACTTGGAATACTTCTTTCCAGCCCCTTCTTGCCTGTAAGGTCTCTTTTGAGAAATCAGCTGACAGTCTTATTTGCACTCCTTTGTAGGTAAGTATCTTCTTTTCTCTTACTGCTTCTAAGATTCTCTCATTTTTAATATTGGCTAATGTAATTATGATGTGCCTTGATGTGCACCTCCTTGGGCCCAACTTCTCTGGGACTCTGAGCTTCCTGGACCTCCTCCTGGGAGTCTATTTCCTTTTCCAAATTGGGGAAGTTCTCCTTTATTATTTTTATTTTTTTAAACATTTTATTTATTTATCTTTAGAGGGGAAGGGAAGGAGAGAGGGAGAGAAATATCAGTGTATGGTTGCCTCTCATGTGCCCCCTATTAGGGACTTGGCCCGCAACCCAGGCATGTTCCCTGACTGGGAATTGAACTGTGATCCTTTGGTTCGCAGGCTGTGCTCAATCCACTGAGCTACATCAGCAAGGATCCTTCATTATTTGTTCAAATAAGTTTTCAATTTGTTGCTCTTCCTCTTCTCCTTCTAGTACCCCTATAATTCAGATGTTGGACTGTTTAAAGGTGTCCTAGAGGTTCCTAAGCTTCTCCTCATTTTTTTGAATTCTCGTTTCTTCATTCTTTTCTGGTTGAATGTTTCTTTCTTCCTTCTGGTCTACACCAATGATTTAAGTCCCAGTTTCCTTCTCATCACTATTGGTTCCCTGTACATTTTCCTTTATTTCACTTAGCGTAGCCTTCATTTTTTTCATCTAATTTGCGACCAAATTCAACCAATTCTGAGCATCCTGATTACCAGTGTTTTGAACTGTGCATCTGATAGGTTAGCTGTCTCTTTGTCACTTAGAGCAACAAATTGAAAACTTATCTGAAGGTTTGATCTGTTTTTTCATTTGGGCCATTTTTTTGGTGCACCTATTATGTGTGAGGGGCGGAGCCTTAGGTGTTCACCAGGGCAGGGTAACCCACATCGCTGCATTGTGATGCTGTTTGTTTGGGTGGGGTCCTAGAGGGAACAGTGGCGCTTGCTCTACTCTCTGCCAGATTTCAGTCACTTCCCCCGCTACTCACAAGCAAAGTGGGCCCTTCTGGTGCTGATTCCCAGGTGGGTGGGTTTGTGTATGTTCTAGGACCCTAGATGGGTCTCTCCAACAAAGCCTCCTGTGAGGCTGAGAGTTTCTCTTGAAGCCCCTCCAACCCCCACAGGTGTTTTCAGTCAGAGGTTTGAGGTTTTATTTCCTCACACTGGGACCCTGGGTTATGCAGTCTGTCTCCCTCCCCAGTTGTTCTTCCCAGTTTATCTGCATGTGAATGTGGGACTGCCGATTCCACCAGCCACTACCTTGCCGCTCCACCAGCTGCTGCCTTGCCAACCAGCCACCACCTTGCTGCAAGTCCTCTGCCCAACTGCCCCTCTCCACCCCTCCTACCAGTCTGGATGAATGTATCTTCTTTAGCTTTTTGGTTGTTGGACTTCTATACAGTTCGATTTTCTGGCATTTCTGGTTGTTTTTTGTTTTTAAATTGTTGTCCTTTTGGTTGTGCAAGGAGGCACAATGTGTCTACCTATGCCTCCATCTTGGCCAGAAGTCCTTTACTTACTTAGTTTTTAAAAGGCCTCATCCGAGAAGTTTCTTAACCTTGGGGTACAGGTGGAGGGGCTATTCATGGATCAGATATAATTGGAGGAACAGGAGAGTGGATTATTTTTTTCAAAGGTAGAGGAAAGCTTTGGAAAGTTAGTTGTAAGAATGAAAGAAAAATGTAAGGGTTAGGCCTAAAACAAGCCAAGCTATATATATAGTTTAGCTATATATATATATAGTTTGTTTTTGGTTCCTGTGACTGCTTGTGGTGATATATATGATTTGGTTCTGCAATTTTAGGCTTCTATACAGTTGGATGCCATAAATATCACTACTGTACATATAGAACTGATTTTATGACCTGTAAATTGAAATTTAATATGTGGCCACTGATATGGAAAATGGGAAGATTCACATTTTGCATTAGCCCAGAATGCATATCATATTATCTTTACAGGTTGCAATGAAAAAGGATGAGAACAGAAGGAGGCTTAATTTCCTAAAATACCCTACCTGTGCTTCCTATGTGCTTAAGGTTTTTAAAAATGTGTAGTTAGAAAACTGTGTTCTCTGCTTTACTCATAAGCCTCTTTTACACAGTGTGGAGCTGTTATCTTTTTAGATATGTATTAAGGAGATGATCAAGTTCTTTTGCTTTTTGTATTTTCCATTTATTATTTTTATTTTGTTTTCTAGGTATTTAAGAGATTATGGCATCTGAAACCCACAATGTTAAAAAACGGAACTTTTGTAATAATATTGAGGATCATTCCATTGATCTTCCTAGAAAAAGGATCTCTAATTTCACTAACAAGAACATGAAGGAGGTAAGTCCATGGTTTCTAGGTAACAGGTAAGACAGTATGTGTCTTAGTCTGGTCAGGCAAAGAATACCATTACAGAATTCTATAAACTGGGTGGCTTCAGACAACAGAAATTTATTTCTTACATCTCTGGAGTCTGGGAAGTTCAAGTTCAAGGCTTAGGCAGATTTGATATCTGGTGTGGCAATACTTGCTGGTTCATAGATGACTGTCTTCTGACTTTGTCTTCACATGGTGGATGGGATGAGAGAGCTCTCTGGGATCTCTTATATAAGAGCACTAATCTCATTCATGAAGGTTTACCCTCATGACCCAGTCACCTCCCAAAAGCCCTACCTCCTAATACCATCACTTTGGATCACTTTGGGGGTTAAAATTTCTTTTATTTTTTCTTTTCTTCTCTTTGCTTTTCTTTCATTTCATTTATTTATTTTTAGGGAGAGGGGAAGGGAGGGGGAAAGAACAGGGGAGAAACATCAACATACTAAAGAAACATTGCTTAGTTTCCTCTCACGTGCCCCCAACTGGGGACCTGGCCCACAACCCAGGCATGTGCCCTGACCAGGAATCAAACTGGTGACCAGCCTTTCAGTTCACAGGCTGGCACTCAGTCCACTGAGCCACACCAGCCAGTGTTTCATTCCATCACAGACAATTTAAACTATTAGAGCTGTAGATAGTTCTGGTTAAATTATTTGAACAATGGGAGTTCTGGTTAACTTGACAAAATTAAGTAGAATTAATGAAATATGTTTATGTTCTGAAATGTTTATATTCTGAAAACTGTAAAAAGTTTTTGGGCAGGATACTATTTTGATAAGATATAATTTGAATATTTTAGTTTAATATTAAAGAGGAATCATAGAGGTACTTTTTGTTTACCATTGAAAGGCATATCAGCACTGATATAATTTTTTTTAAACCATATTAAAATTCAACTTACTGAGTACCCTATAAGTATAATATGTGACTAGTGGGATGTAAAACAGGGAGATGGATATATCAAAAACAACTATATACAGTGTTATAACTAATAATTGAGATAAAGCATTAGAACAGGAAAATGTAACTGTTGAATTTCAGATTTGTTAATATCAATCACAAAGTTTACATAGCCTTATTTAAAAATTTAAATGTACTACAACTATTCATTTTAATTTTTCAGGTTAAGAAATCTCCAAAACAGTTGGCTGCTTACATAAATAGGTAAGAGCATCTTAAAAGTTTGTGGGAAACAGCAAATACTAAAAGCTTGATAAGAGTAAAAATAGGGAAAAATAAGGATTCTCTTTTATTATAATAATTAACTGATTGGCAGACAGTTCCTTTGTGGTAGGCACTGTGATAAACACATCAGAATTATCTCTAATCCTTAAAACAGTCCTACCGGGTAAGTATTATTACCCACTAACAATTGATGAGGAAAACTAAAGGTCAGAGAAGTTAAGTGATTTGTTCAGAGTTGTACACTCAGAAAGTGGTAAAAATGGCATTCATTCTCTGATCTGAACTTTCTCCTAAACTGCTGGTGATCTGAGGACCCTGAGGGTCCCTGCAGCCCTTTCAGGGAGTTTTTGAGGTCACTATATTCATATCAATACTGAGACGTTATTTACCTGTTTCACTTTCATTCTCTTACAAGTGTACAGTAGAATTTTCCAGGGGCTACATTTGATATCACAGTAAATTGAATGGAGAAGCAGATAATGAGAAGCCAGCTGTCTTCTGTTAAAGCAGATATTAGAAATTTACAAAGATGTAAATGTGCCATTCTTCTCAGTATGTGTATATGTAGGATTTTTTTAGTAAATATTCCGTGTTAAATGAATTAACAAATTTTCTCAGTTTTAGTTCCTAATATAGTAAAATATCAGTAATTATTACCCACATTAAAAAATTATTTTGTGACTTAGAGAATTTTTTTAAAACTTAAATTAAATTTATTAGCATGACATTGTTTGAGAAAATTGTATAGGTTTCAAGTGTATACAATTACATAATGCATCACCTGTATATTGCAGTATGTGCTTACTACCCAAAGTCTAGTCTTCTTCCATCACCACATAACTGACTCCATTTACCCTCTATTCCCATCCCCCTTTTCCTCTGGTAACCATAGATAACCACCATACTGTTATCTCTGTCTGTGAGGGGTTTTTATTTGTTTGTTTGTCTTATTTATTCATTTGTTTATTCAGTTTTTATATCCCATGTGAGTGAATACATATGGTTCTTGACTTTTTCCATCTGGCTTATTTTGTATAGCATGATATTCTTAAGATCCATCTGTGTTGTCACCAGTGGCAGTATTTCATCTTTTCTCATGGCCGAGTAGTATTCCATAGTATATACATATAACATCTTCTTTATCCAATCACCTATCACAGGTCACTTTGGTTGTTTCCTTGTCTTGGCCACCATAAATAATGCTGCAGTGAACATGAGAGTACATATATCTTTATGAATAAATCAGGTTTTTTGCACAGATACCCAGAAGAGGGATTGCTAGATCACATGGTAACTCTATTCTTAATTTTGGGGGGAACCTCCATACTGTTTTTCATAGTGGCAATATTAGTTTACATTTCCTCCAGCAGTGAATGAGGGTTCCTTTTTCTCTACAAACTCTCTTAACACTTATTATTACTTGTTTTATTAATAGCCATTCAAACAGGTGTGAGGTGGTATATCATTTTAATTTTGATTTGCATTTTCCTAATAGCTAGTGAAGTTGAGCATCTTTCTATATATCTGTTGTCCAGAGAACTGTAAGTTCAGGAGACCTCAAGAATGTTTAAAAAGTGCAAAGCATCCCGAGGCCAAAACACTTGAGAACCATTATACTCAACCATGAGATGTGACCTATTGTAGTTTCTTATTCAAGTGAAATTAAATATACTCAGCTTAATCAAAATAAATTTTAATATATTCAAACATGTATAATTGTTACAAAAAGTATAGATGATTAGAAATGTTTATAATTTTTTTACTCCCAGAATGGCCTGTAATATTTCATTTTAAAGGCATCTAGTTATTATGCCGCTTTTCATTTTCATTTGATATAAAGTATCATCCTTTTTATTGCTTTTCAGATGGTTTATAAATTAACCTCTTGGATCTAAAATTTAAGATTTTAAATTTTCTTTTTTTTTTTTTTCATTTTTACAGAACAGTTGGACAGGCTGTGAAAAGCACAGACAAACTACATAGGGTGATCTACCACAGAAAGAAAGTTCACCATCCTTTTCCAAATCCTTGTTATAAAAAGAAACAGTCCCCTAGAAGTGGGGGCTGTGACATGGCAAATAAAGAAAATGAACTGGCTTGTGCAGGCCACCTGCCTGAAAAATTACACCACGATAGTCGAACATATTTGCTTAACTCCAGTGATTCTGGTTCTTCACAGACAGAAAGCCCATCATCAAAATATAGTAGTTTTTTTTCTGAGGTAAGTTTATAAACTTAACTTTATTCTTGTTATACTATTGGGGTTTTTTCTTTGCCATATTCTGCAAGCAGCATAATTTGCCATCCATTGAATTCAGATTTATTTGAATGATTGTAATTCCCGAGCAGTTCTCCTGATTAACCAAATTTGAATCAGTAGTTTATTTCATTTCTTTAAGTTAGTGCTACATGAGGTGGCTTGAAATGATTGACAAGCTGCTATAAATATCCAGAAGGATAAATTGGCCAGTAGAGATTTAAAGGAAGGGAAAAGAAATCTTGCCCTAAAAATGGACCACCAAAGCCAGTTATCCGTGCACATTTTGCTGGGCTCTCAAAATCACCTAGTAGGAAGCTTTGTTTTGGCAAACCTACTGACTTATGCTGCTCTTCTTGCTCAATCAAAATTTGGTGTTTGAATAGGCTCAAGGGAATTCTGAGGGGATGATAAAAACATTCTAAAACTGGGTTGTTATGATGGTCGCACAACAATAAATTAGTTAAAAATAATTGAATTACGTACTTCTAATGGATGAGTTTTGTGGTGTGTAAATTATATCTCAAAAATGTCATTTTTACAAAAATGGCCATTTTGAAGATAGTTTGATAAAATTTGTAAATACATGAATTTATAATTATTACATATTTACTGTATATGTTATAGAAATAAACCTGAAGGAAAAAATGATCCATAATATCAACATCCAGAGATAACAGTATTAAATTTTTAATGTATCTTTCTCTTTATACTGACATATTATTTGATACCTTGATGCTTAATAAATAAATTTAGATATTTTTCCACGTGATTAAATGATTTCCACAGTTTTTTAATAGATACATAACTTACATTGCTTGAAAGTACCTTAATTTCTTTAACTATGATTTGGTAAACTTAGTATTGTTTTTGTCTGGCATAACAGCTTAAAAAGCATTTTCTGTGTCATGCAAACAGAAAAAGGTTTTTAAATTAAAGTGGTCATAAGTATGTATAGGTGAATGAAGAACATGACTAAATGATGCAAAAAAAGATTTTTAAAAAATTTTTATTTTATTGATTATGCCATTACAGTTGTTCTATTCCCCCCTTCATTCCCCTCCACCCTGCACCCCCCCACCCCTATCATTCCCCCCCTTTAGTTTATGACCATGTGTCTCAAGTTCTTTGGATTCTATATTTCCCATACTGTTCTTGCCCTCCCCCTATCTATTTTCTACCTACCATCTATGCTACTTATTTTCTTTTTTTTTTTTGTTTTTGTTTTGTTTTTTTTTGTTTGTTTTTTTTATTAAATTTATTTATTTTTTTTGAATTGTTTATGCTGTTACAGTTGTTCTATTCCCCCCTTCATTCCCCTCCACCCTGTCCCCCAACCCCCTATCATTCCCCCCCCTTTAGCTCATGTCCATGTGTCTCAAGTTCTTTAGATTCTATATTTCCCATACTATTCTTGCCCCCCCATCTATTTTCTATCTACTGTCTATGCTACTTATTTTCTGTACCTTCTCCCCCCTTCTCCTCCTCCCACTCCCCTGTTGCTAACCCTCCATGTGATCTTCATTTCTATGGTTCACTCCTGATCTAGCTGTCCTTTTAGCTTGCTTTTGTTTTAGGTGTGGTTGTTAATAACTGTGAGTTTGCTGTCTTTTCACTGTTCATCTTTTTTCTCTTCTTTTTCTTAGATAAGTCCCTTTAACATTTCATACAATAAGGGCTTGGTGATGATGAACTCCTTGAATTTGATCTTACCTGAGAAGCACTTTATCTGCCCTTCCATTCTAAATGAAAGTTTTGCTGGATAGAGCAATCTTGGTTGTAGGTCTTTAGATTTCATGACTTGGAATACTTCTTTCCAGCCCCTTCTTGCCTGTAAGGTCTCTTTTGAGAAATCTGCTGACAGTCTGATGGGAACTCCTTTGTAGGTGACTGTCCCCTTAGCTCTTGCTGCTTCTAGGGTTCTCTCCTTCATTTTAATCTTGGCTAATATAATGCTGATGTGCCTTGGTGTGTTCCTTCTTGGGTCCAACTTCTTTGGGACTCTCTGAGCTTCCTGGATTTCCTGGAAGTCTATTGCCTTTGCCAGATTGGGGAAATTCTCCTTTATTATTTGTTCAAATAAGTTTTCCACTCGTGGCTGTTCCTTTCCCCCTTCTGGTACCCCTATAATTCGGATGTTGGAGCATTTAAAGATGTCCTGGAGGTTCCTAAGACTCTCCTCATTTTTTTGAATTCTTGTTTCTTCAATCTTTTCTGGTTGGTCATTTTTATCCTCCTTCTGGTCCACTCCTTTGATTTGAGTCCCAGTTTCCTTTCCATTGTTATTGGTTTCCTATGCATTGCCATTCATTTCAATTAGTTTAGCCTTCATATGTTTCTCTAATTTGTGACTGAAATCAACCAGTTCTGTGAGCATCCTGATCACCAGTGTTTTGAACTGTGCATCTGAAAGTTTTGCTATTTCTTCGTCACTTAGATTTATGGGCTCTGGGGCTTTGAGATCTTCTTGAGCCATTTTTGGTCTGTTCGTACCCATTAAGTATGAGGAGAGAAGCCTTAGGGGCGGGGCCTCCAGTGTGGGGTCACTGGGTTATGATGCTGTATGTGGGGGCGGGGTCAGAGCCGGGAAATGGCGGCCCTCTCTGCTGCCTCCTGTTGCTGAGACCTGCTCGGTCCCGTCTCACTGCCCACTCCCTCACTGGTCTATCTGCGCAGGAATGCGCCAGCACAGTCAACCCGCCGCCCCCTTCACTCTCGCCGGATCCGCCAGTTGCTCACTGGGTCGCGCTCACAGGGTCACTCACTGGGTCCGCCCTTTGCAACCCCACGCCTGGGATCCACGCACCTGAGTCCATCTGACTGAGTTTTCCTGTGCAACCCCGCTCCGCCAGCTGCTGGTTTCACCCCTCTTACCGGTCAGGCTGAAGCATTTGTTGTTATCAGACTTCCGAAAAGTTCAATTTTCTGTGTTCCGGCTGTGTTTTCTGTTGCTAATATTTTGTTGTCTCTAAACTTGGTTGCGTGAGAAAGCACGGCTTGTCCACCTATGCCTCCATCTTGGCAGAAATCCTCAAAAAAGATTCTTTTTGCTAGTGAAAATGTTCTTACAAAAATTAGGTCCTGAAATAATAGAAAGTTAGCAGTGCTAGAAGAAGTGAAGGAAGTGTGTGAGAAAGGAGACAGGAAGGAGAATTTGGTTGAATATTGAATTATCATGGGCCCTGGAGAATAGTATGGTAACTAAACCTTATTGTTAAAGAGAATCACTGTCATACTAAATTCATTCACAAATATTTATGGAGGGTTCCCTACTGTGTAATGCACTCTGCCAGCTCTGAGGAGATAGACTGAAGGGTAAAAAACACTTTTCCTACTTTCATGTATTCATAGAAGTGATGAGGCCAGCACTAATCAGATAATAACAGAAACTGTATACCTTTCCCTGGCTGGTGTGGCTCAGCAGGTGGAGCACCAGCCTGTGAACCTAAACATTGCTGGTTCCATCCCAGTAAGGGCACAAGCCTGGGTTGCGGGCCAGGTCCACAGTAGGAGGCATGGGAGAAGCAGCCAAATCAATGTTTCTCTCATACACCAGTGTTTCTCCTGCCCTTCCCCTCTCTCTAAAAATAAACACACAAAAATCTTAAGAAAGGCAGGGAGGAAGGAAGGAACTAACTACAATCTTGAAAAAAAGAATCATATGTAGCTATTATAACCCAGAAATCTGGCCTTGATTGGGACCTGGGTTGGTTCTTCAGTTGAACTAGGGAATAAATATTGAGTGCAAGTGCCTTTTTAAAAAGTTTCAGTTTTCCCTGGCTGGTATAGCTCAGTGGATTGAGCACAGGCCTGGGAACCAAACAACCACGGTTCAATTCCCAGTCAGGGCACATGCCTGGGTTGCAGGCCAGTTCCCAGCAGGGGACTCACGAGAGACAACCATACATTGATATTTCTCTCCCTCTCTCCTTCCCTTCCCCTCTAAAGATAAATAAATAAAATTAAAAAAATACATATTTAAAAAAAAATAAAAGTTTCGTTTTTGCATTTGAATTAGTGCCATATTTTTTCAAGCCTGGTTTTTATTTTGCTGTCTGATTTTGATTACTTTTCAGAAAACTTCCTTAGCCTCACATTTAATAGATGTTTGATTACTCTTCTGTTGTTTCACACCCTTTTTCCTGATTGATGAGTGCCTGCTTTAAAAACCTAAATCCACAAGTGATACCATTATTTTGTTGAAGTTTGAATACACGTAACCTTTAATCTAGCTGTTCTAGTTCTTAAATTAATCCTACAGAAGTATCTGTACAAGTGCACATATTTACATATATAATAATGTTCACTGATGCATAGTTTTAATAGGGAAAAACCAGAATCAACCTAAATAAAGACTAGAGAACATGTGATTGTTTCCTAAAATGTAGGTTGATTTGTATTTTGACTTTGGAAAACCTTCATAATATATATGTGCAAAAGCGAGGTTCTCAAAAATATATTGATTATGTACTATAATACTTTAATTTTGTAAGTACCTAATTTGTCTTTGTCTAGAAAATGGTTTGGAAAGATACATAACAGTCTGTTAACTGTGATTACTTCTCAGCAGTGATAAGTAGATGTTTTTGTGGGCAGGTAGAATAGTTAACTTTTACTTTTATGCAGTTCTGCATTACTTAAACTTTTTCTAGCTTTGCATCGTGGCAGTATCATAGCCCATGAGGTTTATCCAAGGTGTAAGTATTGTTAATTATAAGCTTTTTAGAACAGGAATGTTCTAAACAGGAATCACTTTATTATGTAGAAAGCTTGAATAAATGAATTAATTTAAATACTTGTCACAGAATTGAATTTTTATGGTTCCCTTCTATGCACTATTCAGTAGATAATGATTTGTCTGTATGTTTACATTTCCCTTTAATCCATATTTTAAATTGAATCCTAGGTTTATAGATGAGCTAAAAATAATTTATTTTTACAAATGATTAATATTGAAAAGAAAATGGTAGCAAATAGGAGAAAGTACTGGTAAAAAATAAATACATTCTAATTTTTTAAGTATATTTTATTGATTATGCCATTACAGTTGTGCCAATTTTTTTCTCCCTTTTATCTCCCTCTACTCAGTACCCCCATTCCCTTTAGCATTCCTCCCCTCTTGGTTCATGTCTATGAGTTGTACAAATAAGTTCTTTGGCTTCTCCATTCCCTATACTATTCTTAACCTTCCCCTGTCTATTTTGTACCTATACCAATTATGCTTTTATTTTTTGTTAACAAAAATTTTTTAATTTAATTATTGTTCAAGTACAGTTTTCTGTTTTTTACTCCCATCCCAGCCCACCCCCCCAGTGCTCCCCACCTTCCTCCCATTCCCCCCCTTAGTTGTTGTCCATGTGTCCTTTATACTAGTTCCTGTCCAATTATGCTTCTTATTCCCTGTACCTTTTCCCCCATTCTTCCCCTTACCCCTCCCCACTGATAACCCTCCAGGTGATCTCCATTTCTTCGATTCTGTTTCTGTTGTAGTGGTTTGCTTCAGTTTGTTTTGGGGTTTTTTTTAGATTCAGTTGTTGATAGTTGCGAGTTTGTTGTCATTTTACTGTTCATAGTTTCTATCTTTTTCTTAGATAAGTCCCTTTAACATTTCATATAATAAGGGCTTGGTGACGATGAACTCCTTTAACTTGACCTAATCTGGGAAGCACTTTATCTGCCCTTCCATTCTAAATGAAAGCTTTGCTGGATAGAGCAATCTTGGGTGTAGGTCCTTGTCTATCATGACTTGGAATACTTCCTTCCAGCCCCTTCTTGCCTGTAAGGTCTCTTTTGAGAAATCCGCTGACAGTCTTATGTGCACTCCTTTGTAGGTAAGTGTCTTCTTTTCTCTTACTTCTTCTAAGATTCCCTCCTTATCTTTAATCTTGGGCAACTTAATTATAATGTGTCTTGGTGTGTTCTTCTTTGGATCCAACTTGTTTGGGACTCTGTGAGCTTTCTGGACTTCCTGGAAATCTTTTTCCTTTGCCAGATTGGGGAAGTTTTCCTTCACTATTTGTTCAAATAAGTTCTCCATTTCTTGCTCTTCCTCTTCTCCTTCTGGCATGCCTATGATTTGGATGTTGGAACATTTAAAGTTGTCCTGGAGGTTCCTAACCCTCTCCTCTTCTTTTTGAATTCTTGTTTCTTCATTCTGTTCTGCTTCAATGTTTATTTCTTCCTTCTGGTCCAAATCATTGATTTGAGTCCCAGTTTGTTTCCCTTCACTGTTGGTTCCCTATATATTTTTCTTTATTTCACTTTGTGTAGCCTTCACTGCTTCCTTTATCTTGTTGCCCTACTCAATCATATCTGTCAGCACCCTGATTACCAGTGTTTCGAACTCTGCATCTGGTAGGTTGGCTATCACTTATTGCTAAGTTCTTTTTCTGGAGTTTTGATCTGTTCTTTTATTTTGGCCATATTTCTTTGTCTTGTCATACCTGTTATATTGTAATGGGCAGAGCCTTAGGTATTCACCAAGGCAGGGCAACAGTGTGGAGCTGTATGTGGCTGAGGGGTCAGAGAAGGAACAATGGCACTTGCTCCACTCTTGCCTTGCTTTTAGTCACTCTTGCTTTTTCCCACTTCTCACAAGTGAATTGCCCCTCCAGGTGCTGCCCTGGTGCTGATTCCGGGTGGGTGAGCTTGAGTATGTTCTAGGACCTCAGGTTCCCTCCAAAATCTCCTGTGAGATTTTAGTTTCTCCTGCCACAGCACCCCCCACAGATTTTTACAGCCAGAGGTTCTGAGGCTTTCTTTTCCTGTGCTGGAACCCTTGGTCACGAGATCTGTCTCACTCCCCAGTAGTTTCTCCCAATTTAACTGCATGCAAATGTGGGGTTGCCCAGTCTGCCAGCTGCTGCCTTGCCATGTGTCCTGTGTGCTCCAGCTGCCCATCTCCACTGCTCCCAGCAATCTGTATAAATGTTTTTTCTTGAACTCCTTGGTTGTCAGACTTCCATACAGTTTCATTTTCTGGCACTTCAGGTTGTATTTTGTTTTTAAATTGATTTTATCTTTTTTTTAAAAATATTTTATTTATTTATCTTTAGAGGGGAAGAGGGGAGGAGAGAGGGAGAGAAACATCAATGTGTGGTTGCCTTTCATGCGTCCCCTGCTGGGAACTGGCCTGCAGGGAACCGGCCTGCAACCCAGGCATGTGCCCTGACTGGGAATCGAACCGCGATGATTTTATCTTTCTTTTGTTTGTGCAGGAAGTGAAGCATCTCTACCTGTACCTCCATCTTGGCTGGAAGTCCTGGGTCCTAAGTTTATTTAGATCATTTGTTTACTGTGTTTAACTGCAATTTTTTGTGTGTGTGTATCAGTAAAAGGAGTCACCTTTGTATATTTTTTCTTTTTTAATCTTCAGTGGATTTATTGTGGTTATATTGGTTAATAAAATTATAGGTTTCAGGTGTAGAATTCTATAATACATCATCTGTATGTCATATTGTATAACCCACAATCTGTATATCACCCAAATTCAAGTCTCCTTCCATCACCATTTATTTCCCTTTTACCCTTTTCTACCTCCCTCTTACAAGAATAACTTAATTGAAAAAATGATTTCATATCATGCTTTAATACACTTTTTAAGAAGTTGGATTATTGCCTTTCAGGTTTCTCAGGACCATGAAACAATGGCACAAGTTTTATTCAGCAGGAATTTGAGATTGAATGTGGCTTTAACTTTCTGGAAAAAGAGAAGTATAAGTGAACTTGTAGCTTATTTGGTGAGGTAAGTGTGATTTTTTTATGCTATTTGTTCAATAAATGTAATTTCCAATGTGCTGGAAGTATCTGTTCTTTGTTATTGTTACTTTCAACTGCTGTGTTTAGCTTCAGTAGAGACATTCATCACCAGTCCAAAATACAGAAAACTATCTGTTTTATCAGACTGAACAAAGCTGTTACCTTCTCTAAGATTCTTATCCATAAAACTAAGAGATACCAGTATGGGAGAATTTTAAACATTATCTTCTCAAATGTTATCTTAGGACTTCCTTAACCACCTGATTTTAAAATATATATTTCTTTACTCCCTGTCTTTTCTGTTTTATCTTTCTTTATAACATCTACCACCATCTACATATTCTATAAATTTTAGTTATTTATGTTTATCGCCCATCTCAGCCTTTTCCTCCCTCCCAGCCCACACTCACACACGTACTGTAATACAAGCCCTATCTCTTTGTTTACTGCTGTACCCTCAGCATCTGGCTAATCATAGGCACTTGGGTAATTTGTTATTTAATGAATGAGTAAATCTCAGAGGCAGTGTGAAGGTCATCATATTAAAATAATTGAGGAAATTAGCTCTCTAAGCTAGAGGTGTCAAACTCATTTTTACCGGGGGAATACATCAGCCTCATGGATTCTTTCAAAGGGCCGAATGTAATTTCAGCTCCTTAACAGTTAAGGAGTAGTTACATTTATACAGTTGTAAAATTATTTCAGCCCTTCGAAGGCAGTCTTGAGGCTGATGTGTCCCCCAGTGAAAATGAATTTGACACCCCTGCTCTAAATAATGCTATTCTTTATGTACCCACAGGATAGAAGACCTTGGTGTGGTGGTGGATTGCCTTCCTGTGCTTACCAATAGGTAAGAAGAATATTTTTCAGAAAATAAATTAGTTTAAAAAAGGACAAATTATGACCTGTTCACATTTTTATAACTTAGTATTTGTTTTTATTAGTTTACAGGAAGAAAAACAATATATATCACTTGGCTGCTGTGTAGACTTGTTGCCTCTAGTAAAGTCACTACTTAAAAGCAAATTTGAAGAGTAAGTGCTAATCTGAATCTCAATTCATTTTTCTTTTTCAACATCCTTGATTTTGTGCCCTGTATGTGCATTAGTAGTAGATTGAGCTCCATGAGACATACATGGTTTCTCTTTCAAGTTGCGTAGAATCCTATTAGGAAAAGAACATAAAATGACTAAAGAACAATTATAAAAGCATGTATTAAACAAGTTATATAAAACACAGCTTTGTGAAATAAATTTTTAGAAAGGAGAAAGATCATTGTATGTATGTATATTTGTTTTGAGTAGAGGGGTATCGTTTTTTGTAAAGGCTTCTTGGATGAAAGCACTTGAATTTTGTAACAAAATGTCATTTCAGATATATAATAGTTGGTTTAAACTGGCTTCAAGCAGTCATAAAAAGATGGTGGTCGGAACTATCATCCAAAGCAGAAATTGTAAATGATGGGTGAGTATACCTTTAAAGATAATGTCATGCTTCTACTTTTTTTTTTCTTCAGAAAAGTAGCTGCATTAAACTAGGCGATAATTTTATTCCGTGATCATCACTTTATAGTATTTATTCTCTTCACTTTCAGAGAAATATTAAATAGGGATACTGTTGCTATGTGGAAATTACCCATAGAAGTTGAATTCTAGAGCCCAGTATCCCCCCCCCTTCTTTAGAGATTTGATTTATTTTTAGAGAAAGGGTGGGAGAAAGAGAGGAAAAGAAACATCAGTGTGTGGTTGCCTCTTGCACACCCTTAGCCAGGGACCCGGCCCAAAACCCAGGCACATGCCCCGCCCGGGAATCCAGCTGGCCACCCCTTGGTTCACAGGCCAGCACTCAATCCACTGAGCCACACTAGCCAGGGCACGCCCATATCTCTTGTAACAGAACTCTAATCTTCATTGCAGGAGGAAAAGGTACAGCAGTGGTTTAAAAACCTCCGTCACCCCACCCCACCTCCCCCTTTTGTCACCCTCCACTTACCCCCCCTTTTCCTCTACCCCTTCCCCCCCCTCACCCCCTAGCCTCTACCTCTCTTTCTTTTTTTTCCCTTTTTTTTTTACTTTCTTCCTTATAATGAGTAAGGGAAAGAAAAAGAGATGTCCTTTAGTGGAATAAGTAATGAGGCACAGTAATGGAGGCATCGTTTGGCAACCTAGACATTAACCTCAGAATCCAATGTGGATGATTACAGTTGTAAGAACTATATCATAATCATCATGATTCGAGTAATATCTTGATGTGAAAACATATAGGTGTTTACCAAATGAGCCAGATTATCATAGGCTATAAAAAATATCTCCCAGTAGTGTCCTTAAAATGTATAGGTTTCTTTTTAGACTCTCAAAATTTCCCACTTCATACCCAAGGACAAGTTTTCTAAATGCTTCAAATGCCTAGCTTTCTTACTCCATTAACAACTAAGTAACTTTCATTTCTGTGATTGGCATGTACAATTTTAAACAGCTACTTGACTTCAAATAGTACAATTTTCTCTGCTATGTACTGGAAAAAGTTAAAACTGTTTTCACTAAATGTATTTACATTGAAAGTTCATATACTATTATATTTCATTTTCATTTTTCTTCTTTTTTCTGCCTAGAAATATTCAGATTTTAAAACAACAATTAAGTGGGTTGTGGGAACAAGAAAACCATCTTACTTCGGTTCCAGGATATACTGGTAATATTGCTAAGGTAATCTATAATTATGCTTAAAAAGTTAAGGTTAAAATCAATATTTAAGCTTAATCAAAATTTAGAAATAATGTTAGTATTATGCATTTATAAATGAACCCTTTCAAATTTTTGGCAAAGTAATTCAGTACTGTTCATAAGGTCTAAAGTCAATATCATATTTGCAAATGCTTATATGGATATGATTGTGACTTTGGCAAGGAATACAAGAATTAGCCATTGAATGTGTTTCAGATACAGCCACAGAAATAATGCCCTAGAGGTTTCATGATCTAGTTCCAGTCAATGAAAGATATTTGAAAAAGTTAAAAATCCAGGTAACAAAGGCATCTGAAGATAAGGAGGAAAACAAACAGTTTTGGGATATTATATTTTACTTGACTTTTGCTACATTATGTTCTTGGGGAAAGTAAACTGTTTAAATCACAGTATGGATTTGATATTGGTCTTTATTCATTTGCTTGTCTCTTAAAGAAAAAGGTACATTGGATTTTAATATTTAAACTCCAGAAAACATTGGTATATACAATACAGATAATTGCAGAGGGAAAAAATTATTGTTAAAAGTTTCCACCCTTTCACAGAGCATATTGTATCATAAATGGGGATTAGCCAGAAACATAAAAGCATTCTTTAATTTAAAAAAATAAATACTCTAAATAAAAGGATTTATGTTATAGACTTATCTGTAAAAATCTTCTTGGATACTTTTCAAGAAAAGAAGCAAAGTGATATTCAAGTATGTGTGTTACCACTGTGTATAATTTACTTTGTAGAATTCTTGATGAAAATCTTATAGACAAATCAATTTCTAGAAGGTTTTTTTTTTCTGTTGTTCTTTTGGTAATGGGGGTAAAAATGAAGTGTAAAAGCTGAAAGACAATGGAGTGCTTTTAAAACATACACGCCATATCACATTTTTCTGGAGGGGGTCTTATAATCTTGGTAATTGAACTGGAAAATTATTGTTTTCTTAGAGATTTGCTCTCAGTTGTAATTTTTTATAAAGAGAGAAGCTTTATTGTGAATGTGAGATTAAGATAAAGACAATATTAAATGATTAAAAGTTCTATGAAGTTCCTTTAGCTATGATAAAACCTCTTTTACAGTAGTGAACCCTCAATTGTAATTTTCTTGAGCATAGAAAGCAGAAAGATAGGCTATCATCAAACTGAAGGAATTGCTGTGAATGATTTAATGCCCTTGCCTAGCTATAAAGGCAGAGAGTTGCTTGATCATAGGAGCCAAACCATTCACTCAGCACTGAGCAAACAGATATTGAGCACGTGCTGTGTGCCAGGCCTGTGCTAAACACAGGCAGATTAAAATGGCACATCTTTTACCCTCAAAAGGTTACAAAGGGGAATAAGGCAAATAAAAGACAAAAGGGAGAAGAAAATGGGTTGTATATATGTGCATTTACTGTACTAGCTAATGAAATGTTTTTGTTTTATTCTCTAAGGATGTAGATGCTTATTTATTACAGTTGCATTGAAAGACTTCATCTACTAAAGAGCATTTGGTTATTCAAAACACCCTTGGACTATCTGATTTCCAAAAATGTCTCATCACAGAACTATGAAACTGTGGAAGATATTAAAACTTTTCTTTAATCCACATATGAAACCACTAATGAAATGCTAACGATCTACTTCACATTGAAGTGGAAAAATATCCGAAAGGAGCAGCTTCAACTTCAGTGAGGTGAAAGTGCACTATGAAGATTGTTCACCTTTGCTGCATTTGGAACTTATATGGTTATTTGATAACATTGTTTAAGAACTACTGGATCTTAATGCAATCCTGCATAAGAATATACTTTATACTATGTGAAAAAATAAGACAGAACTTATTACTAGGAACCACAAAGACCAATCATTATTACCTTTTTTAAGATTGTTTTATAAGAAAAAACACTCAAAAGTGTGCAGCTATTTTCTTACGTTGAAAAGACTTTGAAAGTTTAGAACATCATAGCAAATAATACTGAAAGTTTTTGTCCACACTGAGATACTGTGTATACACAATGCCTTAATTATTAATAAGCCAATGTGTATGATACCAATATCTTTAAAAAAATTAAAACCAGCCATGCTTCTGGCATGAAAATTATGAAATTAAATCAGGGGTTTCCATTCATGGAGAATGTTCTTGTTAAAACTTATTCCACACCAGCTGTAAAACTTGACAATGTTTTGAATATCTCTGATTTTTCTGCCAGAATCGTGTCATATATGTGTGGTATTTCTATATAAAAGAAAAAGGTGAATACGTATTTGTATGGGTGAGTGTTTTAGTTGTAAGAGTTCATAGAGTTGGCTAATTTATATTTACTTTCTATTGTATATAGATTTCTAATATTTTCTGTATCATTTAAGCTTTCTTCATTTGAGTAAATTTACTAAATATTCATATTTTTTGCTTTTTTGAAATTTGTTTTTGTATGAATTCTAATTCTTGTTCACTACATTATGATTTAAAGAATTACAGTGCTTTAGAAATGTTTACAGTTAGTGCTGACTTTGTATTTTAAATTCCAACACTTTATATTGCTACCTCCTCCAGTGGTTGGTATGAAATGCCAGCAGACTATATGAGGTCTTTTTTTAAAAATACCATTTTTTGTATCAATGAACCCACTTCTGGAATGTCTTTACAGCTGTATGTCTTAGCCTGTCTTGAAAGTGGTTGGGATTTAACTACCACTGTTGGTTCATACAGTATCTCATCTTCAATGAACCCAAGAAGCATCTGAGCAAAGATTTTTATGCAGCAGTCCTTCAAGCCCTTGAATGTAAGATGTTAGCATTTACCCAATTAGCAACTACTGATATGAATCCTAAACAAGCATCTCTCTTGCTTTAAAATACATTAAAAATGTTATCTTTTACTGAATTCTCCTTTTGTGTAGCTATATTTCATGTAGCTATGTATTTCTTACAGTGAACATCAGTTGTAGTAATTGGCTTTTTCCTGAAATCTTTAGATTAGAATAACTTCAGATTACTGCACTTTTGTGATTTGAGAGGTGAATTACTTAAGAAGTTGTTTTTCAGGAGGTGGGAATTTGAATCGGGAGCCTGCGTCATCTCTGAAACCCTAAGGTGATGAAATATAACCTTTCTTTGTTCCTGTTCCTTTAGTTATCACTTTTATCTAACAGTTTGAACCAGTTAACTCAGAGCATGGTGCTAGTGAGGCTAAGGACAGGATCTCAGTCCTTTTATAAGTTCGTTAACTGTACACACATCCATAGAACTATTCATTGCTACAGACTGCACCTTCGATATTTATCTCACAAATTTAGCTTTTGGTCACAAGGAAGATGGTGTGTAAAACTTAGCATAAACCCTTCACCTCAAATAGAAAGATAATTCAAATAATTGGTATATGTAATACTATAGACTTTTAATCTAATATTAAAAACAATGTAATATTAAAAATAATATCTAAAATACTGTGTCACCACAGTTTTCTCTGGGTAAGGTCATTGACTAAACTTGTATCTTCTAAAAATTGTACTTCAATAAATCATACTTAAGTAAAAATTAAATACAAATATATAAATGAAACATAGTAAGAAAATATACTGTCCTATTAACACTGAATTCTTGTGTCTAACCTTGGGTTTGTCGAAGGAGAGTAGATACTCCATTTTATTTACTTAGAGCTATATGTAAACCAGTTTTTAGCTCATAAAGATCATTCAGTAGCACACCTAATTTCTGCTCTTGGCCTTTGCAGTTTGCCTTAGTACCTACTTCTCTCAGTGACTGAATTAGGATTAGTACTAGTTGATTTTAAGATTTTTTGGATTAAAAAATGTTAGACACGTAAATATTGTTGAACACTTTTTGTTGCTATTAAGATTTTAGCATGGTATTTAATCAGAACAGTGATGATCTCCAGAAAGAGCCAGAGAAAGTGTTCACAAAGTATGTTGGCTGTTACTGACCTAGATCAGGACAATCGCTGTCTGTCATTGCTGTGCTGCTGAGCAGCATACAGAACTGGGGGACCGCCGGTGTCTCTATGCCTTATGCCTCTTTTACCCTCTTAGGCTTTCCGTAGTAAACACTGCTAACTTTCCAAGTCTGAGGACAGGTAGTTTGTTGATGATAGAGGGTTATAATCAAGTAATTTGTTTCTACTGGGAATAAAGTGGATATTGCCATAAGTGATCATGATCAGAATAAGGGCTAAAGTTAGGCAGCAAACATTATCAGATGGTTTTTAAAATTAATCTTTTGGCTGTAATTTCAAAGGTAATTGACAGATTATTTACGCGAGTCCTGAGATGTGAGAATTTGGATATAAATATCTCTACTTGTTGGAATCATTAATGTCAGTACTGACATCTAAGGACTACTGAGGAATTTAATTCTTATCCATCCCTTAAACATACTTGGTACATGTCATATTCTAACCTTAAAAATCATTATGTGGGCTCAAGGCTATATTTCTGGCCTTTGAAATAGTAATTTTCTTAAACTTAGAATATTAATAATTATTAGCTATTAAATAATGATAATAGAAAACATATTTAAATGTTTAATTACTTAAATAAGTCAAGGAATATGTAAAAACAAAATTTAAGTTAGTATTTTGTTGGTCATTCCCAATTACCACTCTTCCTATTTAAGAACAGGACGTGACATCAGTTGCCTTTATTGATTTAAAGGAAAAAAATAGAATCACAAGCAGCTGACTAACTGGAGTGATCCATTTGGATGCACTACATCTGATCTTTCAATATAGACTTTTATTTTCTGGATTACTTCAGGTGGAAAAAGTACTGCTGGACATTTGTTGGTAGGTATTTATTCCTATGTTGGTATTTATTCCTATGTTATTCTTTATCCCTTACTTTCCAGTTCTTCTAACTGTGAAAATTGTCATAAAACTTTGTGACACATTCCTTTTTTATCTGGTAACAGGAATACAGTATAAAAAGTTCCTGCCTGAACACTGTATGCATCTAATTTATAGCATAGCTTGATTGATTCAACAACATCACCAACTATAACAATAAAAACAAATACTACACATCATATACCCAGTATACTTACTGAGTATATTTTCCAATGCTGTACTTAATATTTTAAAAACTGTAGTCGTAATTTTCTCTGGATCATATTATTGATTTAATAGTATATGCTAAAATCAAACTTCAGTAAAAATTAAGTACAAAACAGTACAGTTGACCATTGAATGGTGCAGGGCTTAGGGATACTAGCTCCCCCACCCCTGCAGTCAAAAATTAACATATATTTTAATTTTTATTTATGTATTTATTTTTAGAGGGGAAGGAAGGCAGAAGGGGAAACAGAAAAACATTAATGCTTGATTGCCTCTCCCACACTCCCTACTGGGGACCTGGCCCACAACCCAGGCATGCGCCCTGACTGGGAATCGAACTAGCAACCCTTTGGTTTATAGGTCGGCACTCAATCCACTGAGCCACACCAGCCAGGGCAAAAAATTCACATATAATGTTTTTTTTTAAGATTTTATTTATTTATCTTTAGAGGAGAAGGGAAGGAGAGAGGGAGAGAAATATCAATGTATGGTTGCCTCTCATGCGTCCCCTGCTGGGACCTGGCCTGCAACCCAGGCATGTGCCCTGACTGGGAATCGAACCATGATCCTTTGGTTCACAGGCCCATGCTTAATTCATTGAGCCGCGCCAGCCAGGGTCACATATAATTCTTGACACTCCAAAATTAACTACTAATAGTCTACTGTTGACTGAATGCCTTACCAACAACATAAACAGTCAATTAACACATTTTGTATGTTATATGTATTATATACTGTATTTTTACAATAAAGTAAACTAGAGGAAAGAAAATGCTACTAAAATCATAAGGAAGAAAAAATACATTTACAGTATTTATTGAAAAAAATATGTGTATAAGTGGGGCCGCACAGTTCCAACCCATGTTGTTGAAGGGTCAACTGTAGCTATCACAGTATTTTCTTTTATAGGCTCTAATTAATCATAAAATACAAAATGACTCTTACTGTGTACCACATAGTTTTATGAAAGGGCAACCCCATAGCTACCAGTAGTTTTCATAGCAAAACTTGTTATATATTGGGTTGGCCAAAAGGTTAGTTTGGTTATTTCTGTAAGATGGCTCTAGTAGGGCTTAGTTGTCTTTAATTTCATTCAAAACAATTTGGTTAGGTTGAATTGTGACAGCTTTCATAAACAGTGTGTATTTTTAAAAAAGCTTATCAAAATTGGTGAATTTTTATGTAGCCACTTTAATATTGAAGATGGAAGAAAATAAGCAACATTTTTGGCATGTTATGCTTATTATTTCAAGAAAGGTAAAAATGCAACTGAAATACAAAGTTTTGTGCAGTGTATGGAGAAGGTGCTGTGGCTGATCAAATGTGTCAAAAGTGGTTAGTGAAGTTTCATGCTGGAGATTTCTCGCTAGACAATGCTCCATGGTCTGGTAGACCAGTTGATAGTGTTTAAATCAAGACATTAATTGAAAATGTTATACCATGCAGAAGATAGCCAACATACTCAAAATACCCAGATCAATAGAGCTATTGGTGAAAATAAAAAAAAAATGTGTCTTTTATTTTATGGAAAAAGACATACAGACTTTATGGCCAGCCCAGCGGTATTGCTTTGATATACAAATTACTATTTTTTCAACTATGAAATTTTCAGATGGAAGATGCCAGGAGTCTGAATAAGGATTCAGCCCCTAAATACACTTTTACTAGTGTTGATTCTATGCTTTGCAGTATTCTGTATTTTCATTCATATTTAAACCACAGTATCTTTTTTTTTTTTTTTAATGTCCTGGACCCAGACAAGTCTGTTGTTACTCTGGATTTGCACCAAAGCTAAGAAGAGCTGATCCAAAGTATTTTCTAGGGTAAGAAATAATTGTCATGGGTGTCCTGGAAGACATTGAATTGCCAGAATTATTTACTTCTAGAATTATAGTATTTCATTTATCAACCAAACCTTTAATATGGCACCTGTACTAGAATTGGACCTCACCCTCCCGGAGTCAGAAGCTGAGTTAGTATTTATTTACTTTTCTGTCATTTTTTTTTAAGTAAAAAACTTCATTGTCCTTTGTATAAAAGTAGTCCTCTCTGTACCACGGCAGCCTAGCTTTAACAGCAGGAGAAATGAAGGTTGATATGTTACCTTTCTTTTAGGCAGGTTCTAAAGCTTACAGAAGGTTTAGGAGAGCTTATCTTTTCCCTTTAGCCAGCCAGGTTTCCTTTTTTGCTAATTGAATAGATGACAAGAAATCATTAAAGGAGAGAAACCACCTCACTTTTTAATTTATTTTGAAGGCTCCTCTGCCAGTCCCTTAGACGTTGGTGTTCTTCAAGTTTCTTTCTTATGGTCTTTCTCACTGCCATTTCCCTGAAAAATCCTTTTGTTTATTCTTATTGCTTCCCTTACTATATACATAAATTGTTCTCATTTTGGGAGTGGAAGTGAGGCCATTTGGGGGTTCATCGAGGGGACATGGGTTTTTTTTTTAAAGGTTGAGAAAACAATTATATATCAATTCTCATATATATATGGATATATAGATATTTTTTCTTGCCCTAAACCTAACTTTTATCTCATAAATTATATATTCAGTTGCCTACTGGAAACATCCATTGGGATATCTTAGACATTCTAAATTCAGTATATCCAGAATTGACCTCATTCTCCACCTCCATGTTCCTCCACCAACTCTACCCCTCCCCACCCCCCCATCCCCCACCCACCCCCACCCCCGCACACAAGGACAGAAAGGCTGCTGTTGCTGGAACCTGGTTTTCCTTTCTCATTGCCTAGTCCTATTATCAGCAATTATCTAGCCACAAACCTGTGAATCATCTTTGAATCATCTCTAAAT